ATTTCGCCAATTTTTAAACTATTTTTATTACAAAGACATAATAATAATCACTCTTAACACGTTCAATGCCAACATTATTCTGGCGTATTACGCTACACGCCACGCTAATATTTGAAAAACATGGCCGACGTCGGCACGTATCCGACACGCTATATGCTAAAGCATTTATTTTTTGAATTGTAAATAATAATACATATAATATTATACTTATATATGTATTGTTAATTTAAAAAAATAAGGTCGGGTGCTAACGAATTACGAATTTGTCATCATATTATTTCAATAATCTACGTTCGCCTAATCATGTATATAATTATTATGATACATACGACATGAACATACGAACAATAATTGTGGAAGTATTAACGTATAGATTGTTTTGTCGATGCATTTATTACATTTTTCTGAAAAAAAAAAGAATATTGATAGCATTGGACGATAGAAAATAACATGTGTTTTGTATCAATACATGGTTATAGATAAAACCTTCCCACGATCAACAAAAAGGCGGAAACTAAAAACCAACTGTACCAACTTATTTAAAAATATATACTGAGTAGCCAACACAAATATTATAGTCATACACTCAAAGCCGAATATTTTATTCCACTATAATAATACATATAACGTTTGTCGGACACGCTCCGACACCGGCCAGGCGCGTCGGTATCCAGTGTCGGAGCATATCCGACGTCGGCATTGAACGTGTTAATTTCTTTTTCCAACACGTAAAGTATACATTTAATCAAATAAATGCAATGCCCGCGTATCATTATGAGGTTTCAGAGTTCTTTTTTTTTAAATTGTAATGATGTGCTATTAAGCCATCAGATATTTTTTAGATTTAAAATGTATTGTATAATAATTATAATAATCGGTAGCATTAGAATAAGTTATTTTTATTGAATAGGACAATAAAGTAATAAAGGATCACACACACATACACACACACACACACACACACACACACACACACACACACACACTCACAAAACATGACATATAAGGAGACCGGTTATCGGTTCTCTAGACAGAGGAACTCTTCATGTCACGAGCGCGTACATATTGCCCTTATGATTTTTGTTATTGTATGTTTATTATATGTGTGTAAATTAAATTATTAATAAATAAAGTGTATTATAATAAAAGAGTCAAAGATCCTTATTATTTCAAAAATAAATCGGTCACCTCATCCTATAGTTCAGACGTTAATAATAATTCCTATTGAGAAGTCGTCACGAGGATCGGAGAGGTAATATATTTTATAAATAGTTTATAACATAGTTTGATGATTGACTTAGATATGTATAATCATCACCGGTAATTTTCTTGGTTTTTACCATTCATGACAAAATTATTTGAAATAATTTGTTACTTTTCTTTTGAACATTATTATCAACGTATACCAAAATACGACCCGAGAACTTACATAGTATTTATAAAAATACAATCGTGGCTCCAAAAATTTAGGTTTTCTAGATTTAAAAAAAAAAAAAAAAAATCATAATTTGATACACTCGTGTACAACCGATATTTCGTATCCTAATTATTTTATTATAATACATACCGAATTCTGTATTAATTTTACAAGGTAAAAATCGGTATATATTTGCGTATAATTCACAAACTTTTACAAAATGATTTTAATTTTTAAAATTTGATTTACACCTCAAAAGTGATTATTTCTTCAACGTGATTATGCAATAAAAATGTATAAAATGCTTCACATCCGACAAATGACATTCGTTTTATAACAGATGTATTTCGTTGCTATTTTCGTTGAAAAATATATTTCGCTTTTACTGCCCGGGGGGTGGACGACGCATATATTTATTTTTATACGTATAACCAATCATACCATTATTGTGATAATAATGGATGTACCATAATATAGCTAAGACATCGAACAAGTATTATTATTTTTCTGTTCGTTAACAGCCATTAGCGTATACTAACCGTAAATTGGTCGTACCTGCTTTGGTTTACCTGCTATAAAACCTTTATATGCTTTTCCGTTTTGGCTTCATCTATAGCAAACTTCGCCAATTCTTGAGACCCTGCTGAACAAAAACAACGTTTCTCTTGTCTTGTACTCATTAACTGTGCCATTCCACTACGATTTTCTATACGTCTCCGACAACATTTGTATCTATCACTATCTCTCTTTCTCTTTATATCTAGTAACACTCACTTAACTATATATTTTTCAGCATACTTTTTTCTTTCTTTTGTGTTGAAAATCGGTATCACCCCCTCGCGGGTTCTTCATTAGCACGTTTAATTGGTTTTGAACTTTTTCACCGATCCTTTTGTAATTCGGTTCGATTCGGTTTTCTCATTAAGTAGTTTAGAATATCTCTCAGAATTCGGTCCACCGTATTCCTGTAATACTCAATAATTCTGAATTATAGCGTAAGAGGTAATACAATCAGAATCAGATCACAAAAGTTTTTTTTATTTTAATAATTAATTTCCCTTTAAATTTAACGACATTGATAATTCAATTATTTCCTGATATTAATTTACTTCATTCAAAAATAATTGGTTAATTATATTTTAACTAGCTTGGTAATCGATTGCCTTACGAAAACAATGTGACAGTCAGATTGATCAATTAAAAATGTGTTACTATTATTCGGGGAAAAAAACCACTATAAAATATGAAATTTACTTATATCACCATTAATTATTCTACCTGGCACGATAATATTCAACTATTCAATAATAGTTTTCTATACTTTTTATCCTAGGGTTCATATAAAATTATAATTTCTCAGTAAAAATTTCCTTTTAAAATTGATTTATTATAATGTTTAATTTCAATTCTCATATGCAGTTGTACTGTTTTCTTAAATATTAGTTACGATATCTCCGCTAATCTAAATTGTATCCCTCCATTACGTCTAATTTAATACCAAATTCATCTTCAATTCTCGATCATTCACTGTTATATATCCTTTTTAATATCCTTCGCAACTGATGTTCACCATTTTATTTCTAACTCACTTATTAATATTAGTTTGTTCTAACTTTTTTTTTATTCCTATATTCCTACGTACTCCGTTTTAATTAATTATATTGTTTTCATTTTTCTATTTTCTTATAATAAAAGTACTAGAATAAAATTATATTTTAGTAAGTGAAAAAGGCAAGATATTTATTAAATGTTTTTCTAAAAGTGAGAATTACTTACATTTATATCCGAGTGAAATAATATTCAAAATATTTTACAGTGACCATTAAAATATTAGTCTATGTAGTTATTATTGGAAAACTCTAACACTAATAAAAACTGAGCAATAGAAAAAGTGAAATGTAGGAATAAAAAAATATATTTTTAATTTATACGATACCAAATATTATGAATATTTTATAGTTTTATCGTAAATAATATTATTATGAAAATGCACAAGAAAATAAACATACAATTTAAAATTTCTTGCTGTTAAATGCATAGTAAAAAATATTAAAAATATAGTGAAAACAATATGCACAGCGAACAATAATTTGTAAATAACTCATTGATTAATTAATTGATTGATTTATTCCAGTGTATAAAGAATATTCAAAACGAATATATAAATATTGAACAAACTTATTTAGTATAAAATATTGTTAGTACCGATGTGAAAGGTAATCCATTTTACATAAATCATGAATAAAAAAGTATAGAAATCAAAGTCCATCTTAATTTCTAAACAATTATAATACTTTTACGCGTTTGTTTTTCGCATTCATGCAAAATATTGACAGTTGTTTTTATTAAACTTTTCAATGAAAATATTTTTCTTGTGCATGATCGATGAGGCAGAGGATTCCAATTGGATAACTAATCCTCTATGCCTAACCCCTATCCCGCCCCTTGACGGCCATCTCCAAAATATGACTGTTGTAATTAATTGCATGGTAAGAAGTGCGCGACGTGACTCGACTCGGCTATTGAACGACTAATAATAAACAAAAAGAATATACATTCCCACCCCGTGGTTCAATGGCTGACATCTTGTTTAACAGATTATATACGAGCAAACAAAACGTTTTCCATTTGCCCCAGGACGGCTTTTTATTTTTTTTTTTACTGTTTTTCTTCTTTTGAAAAATAAGTGTTGGCGAAGAAATGCTTAATTAAGACTGGGAAACGCACGTGATTGTTTCTCAACCTTTTTAGCATCGGGTTTTTGATTAACGATATTCCCATGGCGAACATTTTTGTTTTCACAAATATATAAATTACAAACGTCAAGTCTCAGGATGGTGCATATAAATATCACGATCACTCGGAAACAACGATTTTACTTGCTGATACTCGTATATTTGCACGATGCAATCAAATGGACACCGGGAGACCATTATTAAAATATCGATCTGTTACCAAACAGTTAGGAGGGCCCAAAACAAATCAAATTCACGGATGACTATGCACCCTGAATATACATACGACTTGTATGTACGACATTCTTACGTGGCTCTGTACTACGGTCGGGAATTATGCACACGGGTGAAATACATTTAGAGACATTTGCGTCAGCTGCAACTCGAATATTTCAACGCTCATACTGATGATAAAACACCCGCATCATTCTTTACCGTATGCTAATTATTTATTTATTTATTTTATAACAGTGGATCCTATGGCCGAAGACATTTGTTCGGTAAACAAATACGTTGATCAGCTTCCAACTGATTTACATAATGTATGAACTACGAAACATAACACGAATTGTTTTACCAGTCAAGTGTAGAGCAATAAAAACTATAATTTTATCAATGGAAATGTTACTTGATGCTCTTATTACTCCTGGCAACTGTGTATAAGAATGTATTTATATTTTCACTTACATTATGGAAACATTGTTCTAATAAATATAAGTTTTAACAAATAATTTTTTAATTTTATTTTTTGATCTTTTGTTTACGAATTATAATCCGTATACTGATTTAATTTTAAAACAAAATATATATGTTCACTGCACTTCGATTATAGATTATGATGAACTTACCCTTGGAGGATCATTTCTCCTTTAGTATTGGACCAGTAATTGACGGAATTGGGAAACGATTCAACGAGGCATTCCAATCGTACGTTTGTACCGTACGGTGCTCCTAGAATCTGATTCGGCACCCTGATTACTGGAACAACTGTAATAACCATAAGCAAACATTTCAAATCAATGTTTTTTTTTACGAAAAACTTCATAAAAGTGTTAAGTTGATCAATTAAATTATGTTAAAAATCAAATGTTCTTTTTTTCAAACACATTTCGTTTAAACTATATGTGGTCGTTTTAAAATATTTCAAGTATACCATTATACATTGTGATTAAATTTTAAATTACTTGTCGTTTTTCACACTTACATTAATTATTGTATTGCCGTCATGCGATGTGATGTATTTATATTTATATATATTATAATGGGCTGTAGTATTATTCACTAATATTCCTAGATCAAGTTTAGTAACAAAATATAATAGTTTTTGTTACATGTTTTAAATCTAGTCAAATGCAAACAAAAATATAATATTAAATCAATATCATTCCCTTTAAAAATTAGAAAATTTGTGTATTTTCAAACATTTAAATACGAAGGTTTTGATGAAACTCGTATTTTATTTGAATGAAAATATAAAACTAAACTAAACTAATAATTTTTATACCTCAAATGATAACCCAATAATAAAAATACATCTATGTTTTACAAAATAATAAATCAGGTACTTATATTATTTTATATATTTATATAAAAAAAAAAAAAAGATGCTATACTTTGACAGCGTTTGAAAATATATACTAGTCGAATTGAGCAAATATTTTTGGGGCAAAAAAAATAAAGAAAATATTAAAAAACCAAAATTATTTGTTTACGACGGGCAAATAATTATTTTTAATCATTTTAAACGTAATTACAAAGGACATTCAATTATTAATAACGGACAGATCCAAAGTTTAATATTTGCATAATTTATATGCTACGGAAATTGTTGATGCTCAATAGTATTCAACTTTACTGAATAAGGTTCGTATAAAATAAACCAATAACACCATTACAACGTATGAACATTTTTTTGTTTTCGAACGCTTACGCACAAATTCAACTACGGTATCTCAATAATTTAATTATTATTAGATACAATTACAATGGATATGTTACAGTGTAAATAGTAGCACAGGATAGAGACAGATGGAAGCTGATTTGTGTTGCGGAAACTCATCGAAAACATGTGATCGACCACCGATCGACCGGTGATGAATGCCCATTTCAATATGAGTTGAAAAAAAAAAAGGCAATAAACTGTTTTAGTTATTATATAAGATATTAAAACGAGAAAAGCACTGTGGATGACACTTGTTTTCAATAAGAGTTATGATATTAGTTACAACACGAAACTCTTTTTTATGTTTGCCATTTTACAAGATCCGAATATCAATACGCCGTAGTTATTCGTATTCAATATTCCGTGCACTTGGTGTTTATATGTTTATATAGTTCAGGTACTTTTTTTTTTTTTTTTTTTTTTTTTTTAATTAAGACAAAACGCCAAAACCGGTTTCTGGAAAACGTGTAGATTAAGATTTGCTCGCGTACCATTCAGAAATCAGGTAATGCATGATGCATTATGTGTTTTAAGTTAAAGGTCTAGACTATACCTATTACGTCCCATACTAAAATCTAAACTTCCACTTCATAATAAATTAATTTTATATAAAGCAATGCTACGTCCAATCTGGTCATATGGTGCACAAATATGGGGTTGTGCCAAACCATCACAATTAAAAACTATCGAAGCCTTCCAATCGATCTCTCTCCGTACAATCACGTCCGCTCCTTGGTATATTTCCAATCATACCCTCCACAAAGATTTAAACATAGAAGCAGTTGATAATTTAGTTAAAACTTACTACAAAAAGTTCCACTCAAAATTATTTCTCCATCCCAACCCACTTATCGCAAATCAACACACGGTATCAATCCCGGACAACCCCCCCGTCGGCTCAAACGTCGTTGGTGTCGTGATCTTTTAGACTGAAAATGTGCTAGTTTAGCAGTCACGTCATGGGTCCTATCACTGGATAGGTTCCCAAATCGCTGTTTCTTGTCCGTCATATATTGTTAACATATTTGCTTATTGTATTTTTTTTTATACAGATTTTAAATTTTATATATTTTAATAAACAAAAAAAAAAAGAAAAAAAGTTAAAGGTAAACAGTGGTAGTAGCAGTAGTCCGGGAAAACACTGGCTCTCTATAAAAAAAAATTCGTCGTGTTATTTGATAACTCTGGCCCCAGTGGCGGCATTGTTGTTTTCTTTTAATTATTTTTTTTCTTTTATTTAGCCAAGAACCAGCTCACTACATCGAGCCGTCTACCAACAGACAAAGGGTTCCCCAAGGACGAGAGCCACTCACTTATACTCATTATCCTCACCCGGTTATTCCACTCAAGAACGGACGACGGTGGCATCGGTCATCACGGTTTTCGCGCGTGACCCCGTACGCATCCGACCGACCGTGGTTAATTCGTACATTGTTGACTCTCAGTCGATCCCCGAACGCGCCGGACTTAGGTTGTTTATCGCCAAGTCCACGTGAGTTTTATTGTATTATTATTATTGTTATTGGAATCGCGTGGTATTATTACGTCGGCGGGAAAATGTCGGTCGAGTGGGTCACGCCGTTCGGTCAACAACGATTCGTCGTCTCCGAGTGCTTCAAACGTACACGTAGAATATAATTCAATATTCAAATCGTCTAATTAATTTCCTGATAACGATTCTGCGGTCTGCTGGGTCGGGGATCGGCACCGTAACAGCTCGCTTGTACACGCCCCGCAACGCACTTTACCCCCAGTACACGTGCTCTGGTTTACGCGAACGGGCGCGCGCGGATACGTATAAGGGTAGGCTTATGTGCTTTCTCCTGCGTGCGTTGTTGACCGTTCGTTATGTAAATAATCCGTGTATGCATACTCACAGTTGACGTTTAACGTGATCCTCTTGCTAACAGCCGGCGGTACATCGTTGGACGCTATGCACAAGTAGTGTCCCATTTGACTGCGTTCCACTTTGTTGAGCAACAACGGTTCGCCGAGCACTTTTTCGTCTGCAACACATATGCAAACTCAATATTAGTTAAGAGATCAACTCGCGCTCGACAAGACGATTGCGCGTGGTGCAGATTTTCGAAAGAGGTAGTTTGTTCCACGATCGGAACTTGACCGTCACCAAAAAAAGCAGTTACGTCTGATGTCATTTGGACAACACAGATTTACGACGACAACGGACGCGAAGGAACGTTTTATTTTCCCTAGTCAAATGACCAATCTATGATCAACAAACCAACTGTTTGTTAAAATCTTTGTTAATATCTTACCATATTAGTCTACGGTTTTTATGTTTTTATAAAACTCTTAATGTCTGTATACGTTTGATAATTGTCTAATATATAAAAACGAAAATACACCGGATTAGAACGTTTCGCCCGTTAATTTCAATAAGAATATTTTCGTTATGCAAATTGCACTCACTATTGTGCGCTCGGAATGAACGGTAATTGTCATGACCATAGTGATTATTGAATGTACGATACTATAATGTACGATTATCATTGTTGTTATTATTACTATTATTGCTGTTGTTATTATTCGAGTCCGTCTTTTGCGTTACGAACAGCATTGTTTTATTACGCTATATTGTTGCAAGATGTAGATAGAAAATACACGCAATTATTTGTTTTTGCGCCGAACAATATAAATTGATAATCCTTAAGCTCCGGCCCATATTTATTTATTGAGAGGTTTCTTATGTATTTTGATTCATTTTTTTAAGTTTGAACTTTTGTTTTTCAAATAATAATATTAATTAATTTTTTTCTCTACTTCTCTACGATTTTAATTAACTATTTAGTCGATTTAACTAAAGTTTTCGATTTAACATTAAATAATTTTCCTAGGGTATGATCAAGTCCTATACTAAATATGAACAATTCAAGAGTTTTTTTGTCGTGTTCAAAGTTTCCATGGGACTTGATATGATCATACGGTTAAAAAAAAAAAAAAAAGAAAAAAAGTATAGAATGCATACAAGTGTACGTATAAAGACATTGAATATATATATATATATATATATTTATTAATGTTAAATTTTGACTTTCCTTCGGGGAAAATGCAACTTCTAAAAAACACATTGTAGTTACTTTTAGTAATAAAAAAAAACTTTTATTCATTACCGATATTATACAGATATCTCAATACCTTTAAAGTTTATATGATATTCAATTGAAGATACCCTCCATAAATGAATAACTAAACAAATCAAGGAGTAGATGTTTCTATTAAAAATACTTTTAAGGAGTGTAATTCGAGAATTAATCAGCTAAGTTAAAAAAAATTGTTTTCACTGTTAATCAAACAATAACTTATGTATGATTTAATGACTTAATATTTCAGAAAATAAGTTAAATCATTTTTTTTACAATTTTTGTGGTTATGATTTTTAATTTTAGAATTTTTTTCTATAAATTCCATTATACCGAATACATTTTTATGAATGTGATAATGCACTATGTTATATTTATTTTATAAAATCTTTATGATTTATCAATCAATAAAATATTAGTTATATTACACCCAGTACCTGAGTATCCTGATAAATTTTATATGAAATAACCAAACGCGAATATAAACTCATACTAATAAACTTCTGAGTTATGTATCAAAAGAAACAACGTTTTGAGTAATAAAGACAAACAATTCGATTCATTTTGGATTTAATTGATAATCATAAATATTCAAAATAATTTTTGTAGATAAAAAAAAAAAAAATCGAAAATATTAAATTACTGAAATCACATAATATGTGATGTATGTAACAAGATGTTAGTTATTTTTTTTATAAATAAAACCCTCTGAGGTATTGCTAAGAAACTGTGCATATATTACTTTTACAAAAAATTTACTTTTGTTTTATTCGAAAATTAGAAATTACTTATTTGAATAAAAAAAAAAAAAAAAAATTGATATATCAATATACATTCTAGAGATAATTATTTATAGTGCAGACATATAAACATTTATTTATCTGTACAATTTGTTCACTATATGAATTCAAGCATAAAGAAAGCATTTTTAACAAATATAATCGGTAGTTTTTTCCAATTGAAAATGGAAAAATACATTTTTAATTTTAAAAACATCAATAGAGCTTGTATAAACACATAAAAAAATATATACGTACATAAAAAAACAAGTTTACAAATAAATTGTAACTTTATTTTATCTTTAGAGATAAATTATTAATAAATCAATTTTACATAATACGTTATAACTACATAAGTATGGAGAAAAAATAACACGAATATAATTCAATTTCGATAGAATATATCTAAGGGTTTTTATAACAGCAACTATATTACAGTATTGAAACAGAAAAATAACAGTTTTACAAATATTTTCAGTTTTTCTTGTGGTAAAAAAAAATAGTACTTACAAAGTAAAATATTATATATTCTGTTGTAACGAAGCACAATAAGATAAAATGTTATATTATAATTTTAAAATAGTTGCATATGCAATCGCATGATCCCGCGATTACTGTACTCGTACATTTGTTGACATACTTCACGGTTTTAACAAAGCCAGCTTAAAGCGTTTCAACACGTTTTGTTTAAGTTTTCTTGTTTACACTTATCATAATTTATACTCGTTTAAAAAAAAAAGGTAAGACATTAAATACAAAAAAAAAAAAAACTATCCAGATGTTCACAGTTAAGTATAATTGCATTTTGACAAAGCGTATTCGGTTAGCCGAGATATCTTTCAACAAGTTAATATCGTGACTTGAAAAGAATAATAGTTAACACAATATTTAAAGTAAAATAAATGCTATTATGAATTTAACTAATTTAAAATTGGTAAAATCATGCAGATTATAAATTAAAAAAACAAGAAGAGAATATACTTTGTATTATGAAGATTATATTGAGTATAAAATAAGCTCCATTATACTATTATTTTGCTTTAAATATTTTTGAAATCACTAAATTATATTAACTGCGTTACAAGTTTGCTTTTTGAATGAATTAAAATCGTATATGTATCGATTGCACGACACTATTATTTCATTATTGCAACATTTCCATGTAAAAATAATCGCGGAAATGTTGCCAGAACAAATGAACTTTCTATTCATTAATTTTGGTCAACTTGGTTAGTGGTTGTGGTAAAACATTTAGTCAATTATTTAAATAAGCCAAGACTCCAACAAGATTACAAAACTAAAATAAACATCTTAGAATTCAATTAATATTAAACTTCTGATGTCGAAAGTATTTAATGTTCTAATTATTTAATATAACGACAATATTTTTAATGTTTCAATGCTTTAAAAATTTTATGGTTAAAATAACTTTTAACTAATTTTAAACTGCATTAATAACAAACATTATATAAAATAAGTGATTTTCATTATTATTGTTTTAATTTTAGTTTTTATTGTAAAATACTTAAAATGTAAATTGCTCACATAAAAGGGTTATTACCAATTTATCCCAAATAAATAATAATAATAATAATAAAATAATTTTAAAACATTTTTGTTCATATATTTTTTAAAAAGATACATACTGAATAATGATCGTTTTTCTTTATGTCTAATATGTACATAAAGAAATTCTTTGAAGTTGTACGAAATATGTGAACGAATTAGAAAGGTGAGCAATATAATAAATACAATTATAAACTAGAAAAGTAATACATTTATTAATGCTATATAATAATATTCATTGTGATGTGTTGATGAAGCCCATTTCTAATAATTCAAAGTGTTCATAATTAGAATTAAAAAATATATAATTAAATCAATTTTTCATTTTCAGTCGGTTGTTGTGACATGTCATATAACAATAACAATAACAATCACACATAACAATCAAGTAAATTGTTGTCACTATAGGGGGATGTTCATGTTCTAAAAAATTGTAATACGACTATATGCTTTATTAAAATTTCAAATAAATCGTCATTAAATGACAATCAATAATTAAAAAAATTGTGAAAATATCAAAATGTGCAATTAAATAATAAATAATATTTATTTAAACAGTTATAATTAAAAACTTAAAATAAAAATAAAATCTTCCTATGAATTAAAAAAAAAAAAAAAAAATTGTATTCTTTTAGTGTAAATAAAATCTGAAAAATTAAATAAATCGTTGCAATTACTAATTTTTTTATATTTATATAAAATGTATTTCGTTTTATTTACATAAATGTGCATTACACTGAATAAACAATTTTTAAATATTTTGGTATATTTTAGATTAATATGGCGTTATCATACATAACCATATCTTGTTAACTTTTGTTTCGATAAAGATATAATTGCAAAAATAGCACTCGAAATAGACAATAATTCTATGTTAAATATTCAGTAAAATCTAAAGATACCAAATATGTAGATTTATACATTAATAAAATAGAAATATGCTTTGAAAGAAAAATGCATCGAAATACGGAAATATATGCAATATAACAATTTTACTTTCATATTCTATAGGATGCAAAACAAATTTCTATCCTCCTCTGCAATTTTTGTTATTAAATGAAAAAGAAAAATGCTAATGCATGAACATCGGTTCTTTAGTTATTATCGTGTATAGTCTTACGGTAAACAATACATCGAAAGAGAATATTAATCAAGCAATCTATCCAACGCTAATATCGATCTCGTTTAACAGGCGCGTTTAGCCAATAAGTAAATTTCATTTGTTTGTCGATAACCTCAAAGCGAGATATCGGTTGCCTATCACGGAATCGTTGAAATCAAACCATACACACACGAGACTGCTGAATTTAATATGCCTCTATTCATCACGAGCACCGATCGATACATTCGAGAACAATGTATTCTCAATTATTCCGAAGTTCATCAATTGCGCAAATTTTGGGACACTATCTGTATAAATCACATCTTTGTGCCGATACAAATAAGGTGTACTAAAAGAGTACACATCAATTGCGCTGGAGAATTTTTAACCACCTAGCTGAAATACATATAGGTAGGTTCTTTACAAGAAAACTCATAATTTTAGTAAATAATAATTTT